GGGAGCGCTTATTCAGGCTGAGATTCTATGTAAATGGCAGAAAACAAAGCTCTCTATGCCGCGGACGATCTGGACCTGCAACAGAAAATCAAAAATAAATTTGCAAGGGTATGGCTGGCGAGAGGCAGGGTAGCGACAAAAATGCCTCCCTCCTGCATACGGAACTCAGAAGCGGTGCCCACAAGACAGAGGTCCCAATCAGCATACCTGCAGGATGCAATGCAGGCCACTTAAATTGGAGGGCATGGCAGAGAGCAGGTCGACAAGCAAACAGTCAATGACCTACAAGATCAGAGTTCCAGTGGGACACCCCTGACAACTTCAGGACCTTTTTTTTGGCTGCCACATCTTCGTCCTTTCTTGGTTTTACGTTAAATTTGGCAGGTTTGGGAAAACAAACGTGAGAGGAAAGGTAGAGGCGGGAAGGCAAGCTGACAGTCGATCCGCCAGGCATCTGGAGCAATCAATGCTGCTCAGAGGTCCTTCGGCCAAGTGGGAGGAGGCGTGAAGGTGGTCTTGTTGTATATCTGACTTGCCGGTGGAATAGGAACCGGACTGATGCTCCGCAGAATGGATATGGGAGCCAGGGTTATTAGGACCTGTTTTGCTAAAAAGAAAAAGAAAAAAAAAAAAAAAAAAGTACTGTTACACAGTCGGGCTCCACTTGCCCGAGATATACTGGGGCACATTCTGCATGTATATAAAATGCGTGCATCTACAAGCAATCTTTCCTAGCCACAAAACCTTTCCAGATTCGGCATTGACGGTTAAGCGTCCTCCTCGTGACAAGACCCGCCACAGTGACTGTACTTGGCGAAGGACCAGGAAGCTGAGGGATGCTTTGCATTGGTGGTGGTAGACTCGGAGCTGTTGAATATAATGCAACAGGGGTGATTATATGTGCTGGCTGGCTGGCTGGGGTATGATGGCATGAATGACAGGTGGTAATGAATCATACGGCGAGGTGAATGGAACAGTTGTGATGGATTGACTAGGCGATCTTTCATGTTCTCCTTTCAAATCTTTCCTTTCTGCTTTGCTGTATGACTGTTGAAAAACAGTTGATTTGATTTTTGCGTAAAATCGGTGTATGACTGAACCTGCCTGGCGGCTGAATGGTACAGACTCTACAGACTGAGTCTACAGACATGTGACTGTTGAGAAACAGATCAGGAGTTCAAGTCCAGCTGTTTGGCTCCTCTGAAAGATCTGTGTATTTATGTGCTTACCTGGTGGCTGGGAAGGACACACAAGTAACTGTTGACAAATGGATAAACAGCTCCAGTCGAGTTATGGATCGAATAATATTATGGGCTAATCCCATTTTGGAAACGAACAAAACAATGGTTGTGACACATATGGATGGCTATTTTTAAATCTCTTTATGGCCAATGACCATCCACTCTCGGGCCACTGTCGTTCACGTGGCTTTCTGCCCCAGGGCAGTGAACGAGGACGTGCAATCTGGATGGACGATGTGTTGGCAATTGCTGAAATGTGATGGCTGGAGGTGATCTGGAGATTCTGGACAGCATCTTTTGAAATCTGTGGATGATTAAGCAAACATCAAGAAATTTCTGGCGTGATGAACGACAATCTTTCATTCACTGCTTCTGTAAGAGTATGAGTGAGGAGTGCCAACGGATGCAATCGGGATGATGTATAGGCAATCGCCGAGATCGCACGGCCAGAGATACCTCCGGATAGCTTTCGAAATCTTATGATGATCTAGTCCATCGACTTGAAAATCTTATGCTGATCCAGTCCGTCGACTTGAAAATCTTATGATGATCTAGCCCATCGACTTGAAAATCTTATGATGATCTAGTTCATCGGGGATGATGATGTATAGGCAATTGCTGAGATACAACGGCCAGAGTACCTCGGGATACTTGACTGCTCGCTTGTAAGTGCCAAACAATGTGATGATTTGCAATCTGACAGAAATTTACTGCGTCCGGCGACTAGAGATAGATCTGAATACCTTCTGAAAATCTCTGCATGATCAGTGACAGTCCAGGCACTCTTTTGTTCACTCACTTCTGCCATCAGGTGAGTCCAGGAGATGCAGTCTCCGTGTTGCTGGCAACTGTTGAAATCTGATGGCTAAACATGGTGTGATGTGTGTGTCTGTATTGCAGGGATCTTGATGACCGCCAGACAAGAGTCCGTCCGAGACACAATGGCCATGGCCAGCTGCGATCAGATCCAATATTGAGACAAGGATATTGGACACTGAATTGAATTGAGAGTTGACTCAGTTGAGGCCTGGCCTGACATCAGAGTGCAAATGAAAGCGATCCGGAAGAGGCATGTTGTCTTATATAGTTTGAGAGCGTTCTGGTATCGGTGCTTGATGAGAATGGTTTTCTGTTTGTTCACAACTAATCATCGGGGACAAGGAGGGACTATAGAGTGCGTGTATGCCGTTTGACCGATCATCGAACCATCATTATAATTGTCCGTTATTTAGAGTCCATTACAAGTGGCAGAGGGTGTTAACTCCTGTGTACATCGGGGTTCGAGTCCCAGAGGTTGAAGAAGAAGTTTGAACACATTTTAAAGTTCGACTTCTGAAGTCCTGCTGCTGACGGACATCGTTTTAGAGAAAATAAAGAGTTAAAAACAAAGATTTAGAAATTATGACCATATTCTGCTTCCGTCTTGCAGTGGATATGAGTGCCGCCACGGAAGGTCAGTGATGTGCGTCTCAAGTTAAACTCAAGTTATAAATAAAGTTGAACTGAACTCCACTTAGACTTCCCTGTAACAACACTTGAACCAACCAGCCAAGCTTGAGTGAGACTAATCAATTTCAGTCATCGTGAATTAGACTAAAATTTCTGAACATAGTTTTAAAAAGTTTATCGCTGAACTTCAGTTATAGCTTTAAGCCGAGCAATAAGCTGTCAGCCTATGGTGGTCTATTAACTCGTTCACAGAATCGTGAAGACGGAGATTGTGACAATAAGAGAAACTTTAAGAGTGATACAAGAAGGTAGAGTACAAGTCTACAAGATAAAAGGGTCAGATCACGCAGACTGTTTGCTTTACGAACAAAAAGGGCATTGCTCTGCTGCCCTTCGATTGTACGGTACTACACGGTCATGGCCATTGATGCAGGAAATCAACGGCCAGGCGCTGTTAGGGGTGACTGTGTCTGAAAAAAAAGGACTGGCAGTTTCTACTGCAGTCGAATGGTCCCCAAAGTGCTTGTGCTACTGAACTTCAGAATTACCAGTTCAGCCATCAGCTTAGCAACTCAAATATCTCCTGAATAGTTATGTGTCGGACGGTTAAGTGACAAAAGACCGAGCACGGTCTCCTTGTGAACACATCTCAGGTTCCTAGTGCTGGTAGCCTAGCAATCGTAGGGGTTATGGGCTTATATCTCAAGGAGTAGTGTTGTCCATGGGCATAATTTAACATTGCAGCCTTACAAAGAGAAACTATTTTCAAGAATATCATTTGTTCATAAGAGTAGTAATGTAGTGAATGGCACTGAATGCCCTTTTTTGAAGTTTTTTTTTGTATTGTATGGACCACAAGGTAGCTGCCCTTAATGCTGCTGGCTTCGGCATGACCGTCACTTCGACTTCATGCTGTTATTAAGTGGGAATTCCTAACACCAGTCCTGACCAACTGTTGTTGTCAATGGACTAAGCAGTTTTAATGGCTGGGTGAAAAGTTGAAATTATATTTAGACTGTTTTTGTTTCTTTCTTTTCATAGGAGACCAAATTTGGCTCAACGCGCCAAAGTTTTGCAGTTTGTACATTTCCACACCTCTTTTCTTTTGGTGAATCCCCTTTGTAGCTGTTACACCTTTGGAAGTCGACGGACATGATTACGTATGATTACATATGGATCGGCCTAAGGACCGAGGGAGACGGGCAATCTGATCGACTGATGATGCATGTGCTCCTAGCACTGCCTATTTATGATTGGGTGTCTGGATTTCGACAGTAGAACAGCATCACAGGGACACAGGCAGGTGGAGGACCAGCGGACGAGCTGATTACTCTTTTCTGGCAAAGAGTTTGTAAGTGAAGCACTGGGACAGATTCATTTAGTCCCTCGCAGTTATTTATAGCTAGGAATTAATAAGAGTGGGCACAGGCAGGAGCGTAAGTGGTACGTACATGAAAGTATCAATCGACCGATCAGGATTCAGGAGTTTAAAATCCTGTCAGATATGATAATGTCAACCACTAACTGCTTTCAATAGGTAGTGAAGCGATGGTCAGATAGATAACACACGTGTCAAGTTTGATTCGAACAGGAAAGCTGATTGCAAAAGCAATTTAATTGCGAGGAGGAGGATGCAAGTCCCGTGACACTTTGCTGAATTCAAATCGATGCGCGTATTTGGTAGATAGCAGAACTATTCATTGATTACATGAGCAAGTTAGCTGATAAGTTGAGTTCCCCCGGGGGTTTTGAAGGATATCTAAGTGATCCATCCAAACCAACACAACGTCTTGAAAGTTTGGGTAGATCCTTGCTGTTCAAGAAAGAAAAGGGAAAAAACATTGTGCCCAATGGATTGTCCAGTAAAAAAACACAGGGAAGGCCTCCTGGTAACCACAATGGTTTTAAAGGGTAGTGTTGGTTTAAGAAATAGATAGGGAGGGCGGGAGGGCGGGGTAATGATCAGATCATTGTGTGATAAATATTTTGCTTAAAGTGACACGATTTGATTCTCGTTCTCGTCCATCACAACTAACCACTTAGTTTTGAGATTTTGTCTTCCCCCATTTTTACTTGAGAGAGAGAGAGAGAGAGAGAGAGAGAGAGAGAGAGAGAGAGAGAGAGAGAGAGAGAGAGAGAGAGAGAGAGAGAGAGAGAGAGAGAGANAGAGAGAGAGAGAGAGAGAGAGAGAGAGAGAGAGAGAGAGAGAGAGAGAGCAGGCAGAGGGAGAGGGGTAGTGACTCGAGCCAGTCAATGCTCTATGTGAAAGGTAAAAAATGGCAGTTCCGGCCACCAGTGTGAACGTTGCAGTGGCAGCATGGGTAGGGAGTATGTGGCAGAAGGCGGGCCAGCAGGCAGCAGCAGCGGCAGTGGTCGGCCAGCGAGGGCGAGTCTCTGATGATTTTCGTCAGGAGAATCAACGGGGAAGTCAGGAAAACAGTGCAGGAGGAAAAAAGGTTGTTGGTGCAGTAAAGAGTGATAAGGAAACAGCAGTCCTGACATTTGAAGATGTGTGGAGCGCGTTGTGGGAGGGGAGACAAGAGGCCAATGGAGGGCAGACAGAGGTTATTCCGGACTTCAATTCTGATAACAGTGGACCTCAGAAGCCTGAGCAGAAAGAGCTGGACAACACCACTGAGAAGAGGCCACGCCGTAATGCGGCACTAGCAGAGCCCCCATCAGCTGCTCAAGGCCAACGAAGAGTTCATTTCGCACCAGATGAAGAGGCAGTCAGGGACTACTTGAATGCGGAAGATGCACCTGAAGAACGACGGGAATCTAAGGCTTTACCCAAAGTGGTAGATCCTGTTAGAGAAGTGACGACCCGGGGGCTGGCAGGTGTCACAGCCAGGACCTTACCCCACTCTACTTCGCTCTCTGAGTCGACGTCGGACATGAGTAGCACCACTTTCTCAGGGTCGGATAACAGTTGCGTTCGGATCGAGCGCGGCATGGATGACTGGTTCCGAGGGAAGAATGGGACATCACAAATAGCGCAGCGCTCTGCAAGGAAGACTGCACTCAAGGTACAGTCCCGACACCAGCAGGAGTTGCTCACCTGTACCACCACACCTCTTACTTGCACCGATGCCTCCAACAGAATGCATCTGGACGTGCAGTTGGTGACATGCATCATCTGCAGAAGAAAAACCCTGTCAGAATGCACCTGGCAGTCGAACGTTTCCCTTGTGCAGATCATGCATGTCACCACTATGGAGGCATGCGTGCAATCGACTAGTGAAGAACTGTCATCCCTCCTGACTGGAAGGCCTGTGTGATCAGTGGAATTTCTCGGTCCTTGCCTGTGTGCTTTCCCGAATTGTAACGTTCTTTATGGAAATGGCTCCATTCGAAACCCAAAGCATGAGGCAGTTGTTCATGGGCTAAGCTCATCCTTCTAGCTCCTGTCTGCCTTTGGTGCCTGGCACCGCCTTTAAAATTGAATCGGGAATGGTCCATGCTTAGGGGCATGCCTTAATACTAAGTTAATAGCCTTATTGGTGCGTCGTTTGTGCTGTCAATTTGTATGAATGTACCATCTTCCATTGAGCATCAGGCATATAAGTAGTACTAGCTAAGTGCCTGTGGTGCGGGCGGTATAACAAATGCAGTGGGTGACCTCACACTGCATTTCGGATGCCTCGCCTCCAAGATGTTTGTCCGCACGACTCCGCAGAAACAACGACGGCCTACTGTGGGGCACAAAACGACAGCTGCGCGAGAAATTAAAAATAAAGGAAGGAAAAGGGGGAGAAAAACAAAAAAAAGGGGGGACACAAAACGACAGGTGCGAGAAATGAAAAAAGGAGAAGGGGGACAAAACTACGGCCAAAAAAAAAAAAAAAAAAAAGCCCGCATATCGGATGGCYCCCCYCCAAGATGTTCGTTTGCATCAACGCCAGCCGTGTACCCCGCCCCTGGCGCACGCTCTGATTTAATGGCGCGCTGTGAACATCACCCCTCTGCACACTCCCCCGCCCTCGATCGCCTTCATCCGCCACTCCTCACCAGAACTTCGGCCCGAATCCGGCGCGCAGCGCATCATGGACCTCCCCCCTGGGCCCAATGCTGCTTAAGGGTTAGGATGTGGTAGTCAAGTTTCCCCAAACAGTCACACCAGTTCCCCTCCAGCAAATTTGTTCGTGAATTTTATGCTCTCTTCTCACCCGGGATTACATTTCTTTTTTTTCCCCCAATTTTCCCTTGAATGTCGAGAGACATACGTGTTATATGCAAGTACAACGTATATGCATTGTATTTGAGTTCAGTTAGGTATATACTATATACTCTATCAGAGTCTATCCAAATAAAACACCACACAACAATGTCGCTTCGAATACAACATCATAGTATGCGACCCCATCCGAGTACAGCTGAATGTGTGACACATCCTCTCTCTCTCTCTCTCTCTCTCTCTCTCTCTCTCTCTCTCTCTCTCTCTCTCTCTCTCTCTCTCTCTCTCTCTCTCTCCCTCTCCCACACACACACACACACACACGCCCTTTACTCTCACCATGTTTTTTTTGTTTTTTTTTTCCTTTCGTTGCTCACAAGTCGCTTCAACAGTTTTTCTCCCTCCTTTTCTCTCTCTTGTTTCTCACTCACTCACACACACATAACATGTGTATTGAGAACCCTGTGAGGTTTGTCTTTCCTCTGTACTGGTTTTTTCCCCCCACTTCCCTCCGCTACCGATTCTCCCTCCCCCGCCCCTCGCCCCCTATGTAACTTAACCACCTACCCCTTTCCTTCCTCCCTCCTCTTGTATGCCACTAGCAAATGCATATGAATGAGCATCATCAAGGGAACAGACAAAATATAAGCTTACAATTAGAAGAAAAATGAACAGGAGTATACCTCCCCTTTTACTCTGCCTCCTATACCTCCCCTTTTACTATGCCTCCTATACCTCCCCTTTTACTCTGCCTCCTTTCATAACGTGCGTCGTGCAAGTGTGCCGTTTCAGCACACAGGGATGTGGGCAGCTGGCACTAAACCACAGTCAATGTGGCTACCAAAGAAAAGAAAGTCAAGAAAGGGATATGACAGATCTATTCTGATCCATGTTGCTTGCTATAGAGGTAAACTGTGTCATTGTTGGAATGGATCATCTCAAGCGTGCGTGGATTTTGGAACCACTCATCTCGCTCGAATAGGGGCTGTTGTGAAAATCTACAACACACATAACATGCAAAATACGGGTTAACAGTCGGACACTTTGATCCAAAATTGAATCCAGTTCGCCAATGTGCATGCTTTCTGTCTGTGTTGTGTTTTCTTTCTCGTATCGATCAGGCACAGGAGGTTTACACCCTGCCAGATGGGAGCGGAGCCAGTCAGGTTATGACCAAGTACATGATGCCAGCACTAGATCTTGAAAGGGCGTTAGGCATGCAGAGGGTCCTCGTGGAAGGTATGCTCTTTTCTCAATTTCCAAGGTTCAGCTGTGTTAACCACATTGTTGTTTGTGCTTCTGGCCAATGGGAACTGAGGGACTAGAGTACCATGGTTCACGCCACAAAAAAAAAAACAAGTCTGCCTGCTGCAGCTACGGCTGCACAACACCTCTTACTGCCCCCCGTCTCATGCCAGGTGCCATGAAGAGGAGAGGGAGCACAATCATCCCCTCTCTCTCTCTCTCTCTCTCTCTCTCTCTCTCTCTCTCTCTCTCTCTCTCTCTCTCTCT